ACTTGGCTAATCAGCGACCATTCACTACTTCACGGCGTTTGGAGATACTTACTTCATAAACGCAGTATGCAAACAGATAGGACACATCTGGGCCGAAATGCCAGCGGAGCCCACATTGTGATATCCGCTGAACATCTGTTCCTGGAGAGCCATACTCGAGGACGTGACGTCTGAGGACTGCCGTGTATATACCGAGACCATTCGTTGAAGGTCGGTTGCCCAGAGGACGTCAGCTTTGCAGGCGATAATAACGAGCACGCCGACGTGGCATGGCCTGTGGTATCAGAATGCGATTCCATGTCTGCTTGTTGGCACTGGATACCTATCGACGGTGACATAGCATATGCGGGCGGGGTGTGCGGTCCGACGATATCTTCTTGAACAGCCTCCGTCTCGTCACAAAGTGTCGGCGTGGCCGCAATGGGCGCCAACAGATACTGTATGGAGGTTCGAGAAGGCATTGCTATCGGAGGGTTTGCTGAGTATGTTGTTGGGTGTGGACTGTGCTGAAGCAGGATGTGAAGGACGTGACTGAGGAGATTGCCGCACTATTTATGTCGATGATTCAAACTGCGCACCTGTTGCTCTTCGCCAAATTAGGCATGCCAAACTTGCGCAGGTGGTGCCGAGTACTGGTCGTCAATGGTCGTCACGGCCGTGGAGATGGCTGTTGATTTTCGTGCCAGCTTGCACGAGTCCGCGTGTCGGACAAGGATTCGGGTCGGCGAAGCGGAAGCGCCGTAGGCGATGGGGGGGGATGATACCTGGCCAGTGGCTAGAATATTGTGAAGCTCTGCCAACACGAAGATGAGTGTAAGAATCAGGAGACTGGTTGGTGCTTGCGCACGAATCGACGCTCATCAACATCTGGAGCGCGATCTGGGTTGCAACTGGCTGCGTGGCTGCGGGGCTTCCTGACGGTAATGCTGCATCACAGCCGCTTTTGGATGAGCCGGCTGGCCGGGATGATTCCGTGCGGTCAGCCCCTGTTACAACAGATATTCAATGTGTGATGTCAAACAAACAGGCTTCTTTGCCAAGATATCGCCTTCCACTCCGAGAAGGAAGCAATCAATACACTATCGCTTTGTCTAAGGCGGCACGGCTGATTGGGCGCGCTGGATAGGGAATGGCCATTAGTCTCTGCGCGGGCCAGGCAGCCGCAAAGACGATTTTGAAGGTATTTCTATTTACTGACCCGAAAGCACAAGGGTATCTGGTTCTTAGTTGATACCATCGGACCCTCACCGTTTGCTACGTTGACAAACAACGCCAACAAGGACGTCCGAACGGTCCAGGGCAAATACGCAGCCGGCGGGTATCCTACCTTTGACTTCGGCCTCAATGAGCTTGCATATGTTGTTAGGTTATCAGTTCATCTCGCTCGACGGTGGACATGCGGTACAGCCATGCAAGTCGAAGTTGAATTTTTAAGGTTGAATTTCTATGGGACGCATGTCTCTGTTAATTCGCAGATCTTACTACCCGCTCAGATGCAACAACTCCGTACAAGGACCCAGTACAAGAACCCAATCAGATACCGCAGGGCTGGCGGTAGATGCCGTGCGCGATCGGTTCCAGCAGAAACTCGTGTGCCAACCAGCACTGCGATGATACGTCTCAATGCTATTTTATGTTCACATCTTCAGCCACAACCCATTCGAGGGGCTTCGTGCTATTCGGCAAGAAACAATATTGCAGAGGTATCATGTATCGTTTCTTCCAAGGCAGCTGGTGGCGCGGAATGTAGAAATACTCCAGAAACCCCTGGCCCTTATTATAATACAGTACGCAAGTTGTCAACTCGTCACTCTTCTGGCCGAACAGGCTACCATAAGCTCGAACTCTGGTATGGTCGTCCATACCATCCCTATCCTCTTGAATGTTCAACGTAAACCGCGGACCCGGGCCCTGATGGCGCAAGAGGCCCCCAGAGCTGTTGAACCGCGGCCATCTCAGCGAGTCGACCAGCCTGGCTTCGTATTGGATATCTCCGGTCCAGTCCATGGATGCAGCTGCGAGATGAAGCTCGTGACAGTCTTCACCAAGCGCAAGTCGCTCAAAGTCAGATCCAAAGAAAATGGGATTGGCCTTGAGTTTAGCGGCTGTTTCATGCCATGTATTGTCAGTGAAGAAGATGTTCACGACATAATCGAGTACTTCCTTCGCTGACCTGGGCATTTGGGGAAAACGTGCAGAGGGTTGAGTCTAAGCTAAGATCTTGCTCGACCGTGATTAGAGGTCGCCCTTATGTATTATATACTGAAAAGGTGTGCGGCGCGTGGCAGTGTGTTTAGCCGGCAATCAGGAATGATGGCGTTGATCGCGCGAACTGGTTAAGAAGGGCATTTTGGGCTCATCGGTGAAGTATCTCTTCTGGTAGGTTGGTGACGATTCTGGAGCGTCTCGCAGTCGGATATGGGACGAAGAGAATAGCGGATCAGCCAGGCTTGGAACAGTCACAGGCTTGAAGAGGCTTGATTTTCAATATCAACGAGATACGGGTGCTACTATGAATGAGCCGTTTTATTCTCCTAAAACCGCAAGCAGTCGTTCATGTACAGTACATACCTGGCTATTCCATTTGCATTATCTGTCAGAGATGGAAGCGAGTCACAGGGAAGAGGTTGGAAACACCACTCAGGCGATCTCCAGAAATGGATCACTTACGACGCCTCAAGACGGCGACTTTGGAGGGCTTGAGCCATGTCAGACAGCAGCGTGACACCATTTCAACTCTTGATGACAGAAGTTATTCACATTAATGACAGCGGTGATATGTACAGTTATGTGCAGGGGCATGAAATCTCTATATCTCTCTATGATATCACACGATAAACATGGACTCGGCGAATCCCGGTGGAGACCATGTGCGCTCCATATCAGAGCCAACCTCCGGGATTGTATGGTGGCTGCTTCCGCTTCAACTCCGGCTTGACGGCCTCAAAGTCATAGCCTTCTCGACCACGCCTGACTGGAGCCAAGAGCACGTCGAGGTCATCCTCTACTCCTGGCGAGTCTGGCTCATCTCCAATCTGCACCTCCACGTCTTCCCTCTGTCGAGATTCGGACGGATGGCCAGAGGCCAATCTCTCCTCCGCAGGCATAGTATTTGTTTCATTCATGACGCTCTCGAAACGGCTGAAAACATCTCGAAGCTGTACCACAACTTGTTCGACGTCGGACATCAAGGCGGTTCCTGTGAGAGCCAAGCTTTTCCAATAGTCAAGTTCTTGCCTGAGGCGGCCGGAGTCTCTCACAAGTTCTTCCAGACGTTGTTCCTTACTGACTGGTGCCTTCTGAGACTGTATGGTACTGTTTGCGAGGTCGGTTGCGTGGGTTCTCCCGCCCAAGGCCGCGACTGCGTTGTCTATGTCGCTTGGTAGGCGCGGCAGACCGTTTGATCGGCGAGGCGCTTCAAAGGTCTGGCCGTCATGTCGGATTGCCATTGAAATGAGGGGAGTGCCGATGGGTTGCCGAGCGAAATGCGTGACATGGATCATCTTATGTGAGGACGGACACTGCGTTTGCCAACCGCGGAATTTACGCCAGATGTAGACGAGATGTAATTTGTGTAAGCCATGGCAAGGTCGTCTGGTCTTGTTCGGGCTGCTCTCGTCGTCAACTCGATGAGCGAAAAGCCAGAGCTTTCACTGGTGCGTGAGCCAGCAGATGATTCCGTCTTGATTCTGTATGTATAGCACACTCCATGCATGGATGCCGTATGCACAGCACAGTTATGAACTTTGAGACTATCTCTACGGTCCCGGCATCATTGCAGAGACCATACAGAAATGGCCATTCATGCGAAAAGCTGACCGCTGAGCTGTTGGTGGCTTCTGCAAAATCCGGTTGCGTAGAACTTCGCTTCTCAGAAGACGGTGTCGGATGTCGACAAGGGCTTACACGCACGAAGAGCACAATGTGCCTTGACCAGAAACAAAGGCAGTCTAGAGCCATAGTGCTGATGATATAAATCTCTTCATTGGCGGTGGCATGAGCTGGGCTACCAAATCACCACAGACGCGCCGGAAGAGACCATGGATTCAATGTGGTGAGCGGCGCACTATCACATTGCCACAAGATTATCTTGCTAACGGAAGTTAGGACCAACCTGCTTAGACAAGATGAGCGGTGCTGCCTCGCTATCTGCCTGGCAGTCAACTGCCCTCACAACGGACTGACCGACGACACGTGGTACCCGCCGCTGAACAGAGTCAAAGAAGACATGAACAGCACCGCCGGAGATCGGTTCATCGCCTACATCATAAGCTGCCTGTGTGGGCCACTGCAAGGCAAAGAGTTCGTCGTCAAGGTCGCCGCGCTCCTGGCGTGCCTGAAAGCCCGCGAAGCGCCCGAGGAACGTGACGATGGCCCGTCGGACAACAGGACCAACTTGTTGTTCGAGTTTGACAAGGCACTGAACTTTGACTTTGGAAACATGCTCATCACCATCAAAGTGCTCGAGCAGGTTCTGATGTTCTCCGCGCGGATTTGGGAAATCCATGCGCCGGAAGACACCGTTCACCCCGGGACTTTGCCAGCGACTTTCGACCTCTGCGACGATTCGGTGTCGAGAAAGATGCTATATATGTACTGCTGCGTACGAATCTTGTTTCCCGACACTCATGAGGCGACCATGCACCGGACACGGGCCGTTTTCCAGATGAGCTCTGCAGATGCGGCCGAGCTACTTCTCGACACGCTCAGCGACGAGGAGTCGGAGTCGGGTGGGCACTCAGTGTGTGACGTGGACGAGGACCTGTTTGACGGCGAGGGCGGCGAGCCTTACCGTTCTGACATTTCTGACGTTGAATCCGGCGAAGACTCAGATATGTCGGAAGGAGGGCGGCTAGACAACGATTATGGCGGTTCAGACGTCTCAGATGAAAGCTACGGGCCTGGCGCAGAAGAAGATGATGGCGATATAGAGTAGTTGCTGAGTTTGTTACGCATGGGGGGGTCATTCTACACATTTTGCTCATAACTATCCTACAAAAAGGATTTCATATTACTTCAGACTTCTGTGTGGCTTACGTGTGAGGCGCCGACCTGCGTCAATATTCGCCAAACGTCCAGGGAGTGCTCTGCATACAATGCCCTGTGATCTGTACTGGGCAACGAGGGTTCCACCTTTGAGACCATGACATACACAACACCTTGTTGTTGCTGGCGATGGCTTGCTTGGAGCCGTAGAGCACCACGCCCGCCTTAAGCCAGGCTGCAAAGCACGAAGCTTGGAGAGACGGAGCCCAACATTGCTGCGAAACTCCCGTCGAAGGAGGGGAGGCGTACTGTACGATGAGGCATTCGTCCGCAAACTGCCCACCAGCGGCGCAAGTGGCTTCTTGTCATTCTCGTGCCTCACAACAGGAAGCAAGTTTCGTCGGCTGCGTGCGACGAGAACCAGAAGTATCTTTTCGTACAGTATCGTATGTACACGTTCTATCTATTTCATTGATCTCTCCCGCTGCGGAGCGACCTCCAGTTGCAGGATGCCAGCTCGGCCAGCGTCGAAACACCGGTGACACCGTCGCTAAAGTCTGTGTCAGCATCTCCGCGCTCCTCATCGACATCTCATATGCAATGTCTCATCGATCATGGACTCTCGCAGTGCTGGTCCTCCAGCTTGCTGTCGCCGCCGTGAATGCAGCGTCGGCCGTCGAGATCCTCTCGCAGGTCCCGTCGTGTGCTGTGAGTGATTGTGACATCAGCCAGGCTTTCGTCGCGCTAAAGCATCTACCATCTAGTCTGAGTGCATCAGCAGCACATTCATCACGTCCGCCTGCAATCCCGAAGACGTGACTACGTGCATCTGTCTCGACATTGCTGTCCAATCGGAGCTTTCGACATGTGTGCAAACGAATTGCCCGTTTGACGATCAACTAAGTTGGCCCCGCTGTTTCCTCTCTGGAAGCCCATCTGACCTTCTGAAGCTGCAGCGACGGTGGAGGGAGCCCTGTGCGAAGCGTATCCCAAAGCATCGCGAAGGACGGAAGTCCGACGGACGCTCATCATCAGCTGCAGCCTTGTGCTGTTCATTGTGACGCTTCGTCTTTTCACGAGCAAACAGTATGCGGGTGGTCTATGGAGGGACGACTACGTGACTATCCTCGCGGTGGTACCTTACTCCAGCTCTCCAAGCAAACCTCTCTGATGTCGTCTGCCAGGCACTCCTCATCGCCTTGGCCGCGGTCTATCTGCACATTACAAGCATCGGCTTCGGCATGCACTACTGGACGATACCGGTTGGTAATGGGGTCGTTATCCGAAAGGTTCGGTGATCTGGGCCCGCCAGCTGTTCGTGGTTCGTGGTACCCCGTCCTAACGCCGAGTCAGATGCTGTACGTCGGGAACTTGATCTACACCGTCCTTCAAGCCGCCGTGAAGCTGTCGATCGTGCTCTTCCTCGGCCGCATTTTCCCGTCGGAGACCTTTCGGAGGATTGCTCAGGGCCTTCAGATCATTCTGCTACTGCATGGCACGCTCTTCATCATCCCGTTCGCGACGCAATGCGTGCCTGTGCAGTCGATATGGGATCGCACCATCACCGACCGCCGATGTCTGAACCTGCAAGCTGTGGGCTATAGTAGTGGCGGACTCGCCATGGCGGAGGACATCGCCATTTTGCTCCTGCCGGTCCCCTACGTGTGGCGGCTCAAGATCTCTCTCCGGCGACGCTTAGCCGTCATCGCGCTGTTCAGCGTTGGTTCATTGTGAGTTAGGTCTCAAGTCTCGGCAGAAGGGTGGGAGGAGAAGGCTCACACGGCAGACAGCGCGTGCGTGACGTCGGCGGTCCGGGTCAGATACCTGGTGGAGTACAGCACCACGTTCGACGAGACATGGGATCATGTCGATATTGTGGCGTGGTCGTTCATCGAGCAGTCGACGGCGATGCTGTGTGCGAGCTTGCCCAGTCTGCGTCTGCTGCTCGTCAGCGTCTGGCCCCGACGTCGGTCTACGGCGTCGGAGAGCTTTTTCAGCAAGGACAGTCCGAAACACAGGTGGACCCGGTCTGTTGACAGACTGAGGCGCCACAAAACGCAGATACGCAGAGACAGCGGCCCCGGGCCGCAGCACACGGGTGACGGCGTGCTTGTGACCACCACGGTGGAGGTCGATCGGCAGTCCTACGTGGCCCTCGACGTGCCGCCCTTCCCACCGCCGGCCTATTCTGGGCGTAGCAACAACACATAACAGCAAGTCATGAGAAAGGGGAGAGTGGGACAGTATCTTTCAGGAATCTATGATGAACTATGATGAGCTGTGATGAGCTATGATGAGCTATGATGAAGGGTTAATTCGCGGGCATGATGCTGCAAGTTATCCGTGAAAGGAAAGCGACGCAAAGTTAGAGTCCACGGAAACATTGCCATTATTAGGCGTTGGAGTTTGACGGGTGTCTGGCTACTTGAAAGGCGGCGCAACGAGTCATGAAGTAGTTCACACAGCGACGAGTTTAGTATATGAATCAAGTAGGGTATTTCTTTGTAGAGATGGAAGCTATGGTGCATGTTCCGAAAGTTACATCGAAAAGGCTGCCAATACTCCAGCTGCAGTTTTCCAGGCCGTATTGCCGCCGAGGCCTTATGTTGTGATGATGTTTTCTTCGTGCAAACTTCCGGGCCTTTTGGTGGGCGGTGCTTCCGATGGGCAATGAGATCCCGCGTAGCTTCTTGTGCAGTGAACACCTGGATTTCGCCCGTCTCTCCTTCAATTACGTAGAGCCACAGCCCCACTTCCCTGCTCGTGACTGGTTCGCCAGGCGGTACCTTTACCGCAATTCAATTCTGGCACCAAACTAGCGACAAACGGCAAATTAGTGGAAAGACAAGTTGAAGACGACCCGATGCTAGCGACTGTCAGTGCTCCTCGGGCGCCATGACGCTAGCCCTGTGGGCGCTTGAGATTGAGACCGTACATTGCATGCTGTGCGATGAGATGAATGGTAATTGACGAATCCCTGAGCCTGCCATGTTCCCGCGGCAATGCGGGCGAAGCCCGTCCTGCGTTGCGCCTAGCCGGCCCAGATGCTTGGAGCCGCAGCCGTTTTTGGCCGTTCGCCTACGACGGCGGGCGTTCTTTTTGAGAAAGAGCCGTCGACAGCAAAGTCGATTGGGCCCTGGCAGCTTGTTTCCCAGTACAGATCCGGCAACAGCGTAGAAGCAACAATCGGCCACTTCCTGCGGCGTACTCTGCGAGCCCCAGACAACGACATCTACATTCGGCTGTCCACCGTGGATGGCTCCAAACTCCCTTGTTTGACGTATGTAAGGGTAGGTCGTTGGTGGCGAGATACCCTTTCGGATCCTACCACCGACGGAGCCAAAAATCCGTAGTCGCTCCTGGTCCCTTGGTCATGGGTCTCCGACAGCATTTGATTCACAGTACGGGCATGGCGAAAATGATGCAGTCAATCTTTGGGGGAGGAATTCATTCTGGCGCTGGACGCCATGCTACCAACGACTGGGAGACGGCAAATGGGAAAAACACCAAGCTATGGCTCACGAATAAGAGCGCGAAATAAGAGCTCTTGTCAAATAGATGGCTTTGTTGAACTCACTGGCGCTCACGAATGTAGCTACATACAGTATCCGCCTCGACTCTTTGATCTGAATACATGGCTCGTCCATCGTCGAGCAGCAAGCAACGTGATCCGATGGACCCTGTTCGCGCGTCCCCCATTCCTTCCGAATGCCAATCTCCTCCACTCCCTCGACCACCGCACCACCGTACGTCTCATGAAGACGTGAGCACGAGACAGCTGTTGCAGCCGCAATTTGTGCCAGCACAACATGGCGCACCACACCAACCCTTCAGCGTGGATCTGGCCTTCCCACGCCTGCCTGGCACAGCCATCGAACCATCGGCGACCGCTAACACGTGGTTGGACGAAGGCGAGCAGAAGATGACGTTCGCGCAACTCATCTACATCGCACTCCACAGCAAGGAAACGAAGGCAATGGGGCTGGGCGAACTCTACCACTGGTTTGAGCAAAACACCTGGAGAGCCAACAAAGGAGGCGAAGGATGGAAAAACAGCGTTCGCTCGAACCTGAGCGTGAACAAGGTACGCTAGCGAGTTGCGTCAGCGATGTGACGGTGTAGTTTTTCCCGCTAAGTCGTAATCTGTGGTGCACAGGCCTTTCAACGAGTGGAACGAAAAGGCTCCCTCTGGCAGCTCGCTGAGGCAGGATTGACGGAATTTCAACCAACGCGTAAGCCCCGAACGGATCGCCGGGCGAGTCGCAGGAAGAAAGCAGAGGGGTCATCCAGATGGAGGATCAGCGCCGCATCACCTCCTCCGTCTTGCGCGCCCACTTTGCACGACGCCTCGCCGGGAAACGTGTCGGGAAGTGATCGCGGCGGAGATGGGTTTTGGTCATTTGCCGGCGGCTTCACGTCGCCCGAGAGGAGCCAGCCGGAAAGCGGTACCTCCGCCGAGTATCCGACGCCGACACCGAGTACTTCGACGCAAGACGGCCTGGAGCACATGCATGATCCGCTATGGGCTTGGAACCTGGATAGTGGGCGCTACGTCCACTGGCCCTACTGCAGCTGCCTCTGTGGCCGACAACAATTTTGTTGGACAGACGTGAATGACAGACAGCCATTATGCGCCCCGACAGCGTTTGCTCCCATGTTGACGAGCATGGGTGTGGGTTCTAGTCCGCCGTCGGAAACGTCCGTGCAATGGGAGATCTGACGGTTGAATCTGGTCTTGGCAACTACATAGGAGTACGTTATAGCACTGGAGCATGGATGGGCCACTGTCCGAACGGCGCCGAGATAGAACTACAGACAGCGGATAAGATATGTGCTGTCATGCCAGGGAATGCATGCGCCAATTCGATCTTCCCGCACTTGATGTGTGTTGGAAAGCTCACTTGCGAAGCCGGATGGACCTACGCTTGACTTTGAATGAAGATTCGGACGCAAATGGCTTCAGAGTATTGGCATTTGGATCACAGACGATTATAGGTTCATCCAGGGTATCGGGCTTAGAGTCCATCCTCCCAGCCCATTTTGGCTTTCGAGTTGCCTTCTGTACTGCCTATAAGACAGGCACGCGCCTCGTCTACCCGGTGTGGCTGTTCCTGATCCAGTGCGCAATATGTCCCGTTGTAAACACACTGGCTGGCTGCGCGTGGCCATCAAAGACCAGGCGTACGTCGTCGAAAGCTCGGATCGTGCCCAGAGACTGCTGGACAGTCTGCCACGCCCAGACAGCCAGTATCCGAGTATGCTCGTGCTGATAGGAAATACGACCAAGAGGGTTGCCATGCAGAGACTCGGCGTGGACATCACCAGGCCCAACACGACCCGGGGCCACGGCGAGATCCACCTTTCCGTCGCCCCGGTCGGCGCGTCCGGCGCAAGGCCGACGCTGATTGCCGATGCCGATATCCCGCCCCACAAGCGGCTCGGGAGGCCGAGGAAATCTACGCTCTGCCATGAAGTTGTAGCAAGGCCACTACCGGTCTCTCACGGTGGAAGCACCGCATCCACCATGCCGTCCTCGATGCCGTCCGCGATGCCGTCCGCGATGCCGTCCGCGATGCCGCCCACAACGGTTGGAGCTGGCGATCATGTCTATAATCGCATGCTTCTCCCGTTTGCTGATGCTGTGTGTTTTTTTGCCGACGATATTGGCGGCGTAGACGTCGTCGCCCAGCGTCTTGCGTCGTGGCTGAACCTGAGTACGCCGTCCACATCGTCGGTGCGGCCCTGGTTAGTGGTCGTCGTGAATGGCGACGAAGAGGATTCCGCACGAAGTCGCCTGCTACAGTCCGTCCGCAAGCGAACAAGCGCCAACGTGTCCGAACGATTCCACGGCGTCCGCGTCATCAGCCTGGCCGACAAGACACCTAAGTCTCTCCGACGCCGCCTTGATTCCCTGCGTTGGGACATACTCAGCAATGAGCTGTCCTACATGACGGAGACAAAACGGGTCGAGCGCGTGCTCGCCAGCTGCCTCTTCTCGGCCACCCACCTCGCCGGCCTTCTCCGCCACGCCACAGAGCACGTCGGCGGTGCCGGCGCGCCGCCCTTCGACTTCCTCGCCGTCTCCCGGCTCGACAACCCGGTGGCGGCGGATCTGCCGGCGCACCTCGCAGGGTTCCTCACGCACTGCGACTCCGTCGACGACCTGAAGAGATTCGCCGTGCCTGTTATCGCCTCCAGCTTCATACTGGACCAGTACCCTCCGGACATGCACCGTACGTTCACGGGCACGCGTCCCTTTTGGTCCTCACTGACGGCCCGCAGTCTTCGATCCGCGCGACGTCTTCCAGATGTTCTACAAGGACGTGTGCCACAACGTGTGCGGCACCGCCGTCCTCGCGCAAGAAGGGTCCACCGACTTCCTCCTGCCGTCTCAGTTCGCCAAGATGGTCGAGGCCCAGATGGTCCGTATGTTCCGGCAGCTGACGACGGGCCACGCCTCGGCGTCGCTGCATCGACAGCTTGTCGCCGCCTTCGCGGAGGACTGGGCTCAGCTCAAGTCCGACAGCACGTGCTACCTTTGTCTGCGGCGCGCTCCGCAGGTCTTTCCCGCGTGCGGTCACGGTCACTGTCTAAACTGTGTCGAGGTATTTGGCGTCGCAAGTGCGGCCGACCCGTGGCTCATCGAAGTCGCCGAGTGTATCCTCTGCGGACAAAACGTTGACATGCAGATACGTGTGAAGCCGGACACCGCGTCGGTGCGGGTCTTGTGTATCGACGGCGGCGGGACGCGGGGCAAGTACCCCCTCAAGGTGTTGAAGCAGCTCGAACACGACATCGGGCTGCCCGGCCATCCGGTACAGCAGAACTTTGACGTCGTCTTCGGGACGAGCTCAGGTACGTCGCGGGATGCTGTCGTTGTTGCAGGTGCAGATGTGGGCGACTCCCCTGGCTGACCGATCGCGACAGGTGCCATCAGCGCCGGCGCCCTCTGCATCAACGGGTGGACGGTGGATGAGTGCATCGCGCGCTTCGAGTCCCTTTCGAACCACGCGTTCACGCCTCGCCGGGTTCCGTCCGTTCCCATCATAAGTTCTTTCATACGACTGATGATGCGGATTCCTTTTTTTGCCACAGTCGTGCGTGCCGCAGCCTTGCTCCTCTTCGACAGCAGGTATCCGTCGCAGCACATCGAGAAGGCTTTACGAGACATGTTCGGTTCTGGCAGAAGCATCGCCGACTACTCGGCGGCCGACACGATGGGTGCCATGGTTGGCATGACAGTTGCTACCGTGCAAGACGCAAGCGCCTGCATCTTCACCAGCTACAACGGAGTGGGCCAGCGTGCCGGCGATCGCGGTAGCCTCCCCGCCTCCGTCCCTTTCTTCGTCCCCGTCTCCATCAAGGCCAATCGAAGCCCGCGAGCCGATGCTAACGGACTGTATAGATTATGAACTCTTGAAGACAACCGCCGATGGGGGTCGCGTGGCTTTGTGGGAGATGTTTGTGGTTTCCCGCGTGATTCTTTGTGAGGCCTGTGGCTTCCGGTGACTAGCTGGCTAATCCGGTGTGCAGTGTCCGATGTGCAACCGCTGCTCCGTAGTCCGTGCCAGGCTTTTTTCTTTTGACCCCCCCCCCCCCTTTTCCCCCCATCTCGCTCTCTTTTCGCCATCCTACAATTGGATGGCGCAAACAATGCCTACAGCCGAATGCTGCGAAACGCCGCTAACAATGCCATAGCTATTTCACGCCTTGGTCTATTGACGGCCTCGGCACCTTCCAGGACGGCGGCTTAGTGGCCAACAACCCGTCCTCGATCGCGCTGCAAGAGGTGGCCTCCCTTTTCCCTGAAGCGCCACACCCAAGCCTTCTGGCCTCGATGGGCACTGGCTCCTCCTCGAGCTCGTCCGGCGGCGGGTGGTGGGACTGCTTCCTCTTCCGCCTGGCGCGGGCGTTCCGGAACCGCGACAAGAACGCCTGGCAGCAGGTCGTCGCACAGAAGAAGGTGGGTCGATCCGGTGAGTTCTTCCGCTTCGATGTCGAGTTCGACGGCTCCGAGCCGCCATTGGACAGCCTGTCCAGCTTCGACGACGAAGAAGACGATGGGTGCACCTTTGAAGGCCTCCCCGCCCTGAGACGTCTGGTGTTGTGCGTGAGGGCAGAGCTGTTCGTCTTTGAGCTGCGTGCTTCGCGGCCGTACCTGTTCTCCGATGGGGGGTACGACTGCCGCGGGCAGATATGTTGCCGGCTGCGCGCTCGCTCCGAGAGCCTGACGGCGTTGATGCGGCAGCTCGCGAGCGGCAAGGCGTATTTTCGCGTCGGCGGCCATAAAGTAGCTTGTGATTTTGCGTCATACCCGGCAGCCTTCCCAGATGGTCATTTCCGTCTGGACGTGAAGTTTCGCGTGGCCAGTCTGCAGGAGTCGTTCGCCGTTCGCCTATGGGAGACCGCCGACGAGGGTCGCGACATCAGCGGCTCGCCGTTTACCGTGCAGCGGCTGGTGCGGAGCCAAAAGCTCGAGCAGTGCTTCGGCACCTCTGATCATCGTAAGAAACGGCGACGGGACGACGACGACGACGAAGAAGACGAGGGTGCAAGCCGTAAGCAGCCGAGATTAAAGCGGTAGGGTGTGCGTTTGGTAGAGAAGGAAAGGACGTATGACGGACGGTTCCTCTGAATTGGTATGCGTAGCGTAGCTAAGAAGAATGATTTTTGGGCTGAGGCTTATCTTAAAACGCAGCATCACTGCAGGCGGATCCATGCCGCTCGCTGCGCTTCGCCTGTGCAGTGCGAACATGGTACTCTGTCACACTATTCTATTTTATTCAACATGCTCTTTCCTGATATTGGCTGGCACGTTGATCCTTTGCTCAGCCATTCAAGCAATGTAGCCATTGACTTTGGGCCAATTACATGAATGCCCTATGAGTAATCGTGCGCCCAGAAACAGCATGAATTGGAGTGTTTCTCTGACCGAGGAGTGCATGGCTAACATGGTCCGAGCTTCTCTGACCATCCCAACGAAAGCATCAGCCGTCGAGTGGTGCACCCCATTACAGCTTCATATCAGCATGCATCACAGACCGCAGACCACAGACCACAGACCACAGACCACAGACACCCAGTCGATGGATATGGTATCGGAAACGAGGACGACGGTATTGAGTTCGAATGAGAACCTCGATGATGTGATACGTCTAGGCTCGAGGCCTAGTACGTGGAGCACATCAGCATCTACCACAAACGCATTTCCAAGAGCCGCGGCATCCGCAACGACGAGGACATCACCACTGGGCCACGACTCTGACGACGACGTGATCTTCTTATATTCAAGGCCAGGTACGTGTTGTGTACGCATAGTGAACAGGCGCTGACAAGTTCACAGTCCCGAAAGCAGCAGTTCGGCCCGACCAGCACCAACGTCCCCGACTACAGCCGAACGACAAAAAGCAATCCTTACGAAAATTGCCCAAAAAGAACAAAGCGAAACGAAAACCATCACAAAAAGTACCGAATAGCAGAAGGAGTGCGCGTCTAGAGTACGCAGAAGTCGGCTGGCTAGCATCTTCGGGCGCCCAACGGCAAGCTGTGTACGGATGCCTCAGTAGAAGCGGGCAGCTGCGTTACTGGTCCTGCTCGGCACAGGACGATGGTGGCTCCATCAAACACAGGGAGATAATTTTCTGTCCGGAGCTCCAAGGCCTGAGTCCGGACCAGATACGCAAGAAATTGTCAAGGAAAATGCACAGGGCGGCGAGAAGAAACGTCCGAGACGAGAGCTGAGGTGCAGTCGTTCGCAAATCAATCAATCTTGCAACGCTTCCAGATCTCTCGCCGGCCAAGAATTTGGCGTCCATCTTCGCCGGGGCAGCCGTACTCTTCAGCATATAGTACGTACACAAGATCGAGCATCGTTGCTATCGTCTCGGTCACAGCAGCGAGGGATACGTCTGCCTCACCACACAGTCGCTCGTCAATTTTCTCCTCGGCTGGCAAGTCGGGTGACAGCCTTGACAAAACCCTTGTGTTTTGGCCCATCTGCGCTGTAGCGTTATATGCGACTTCGGCCTTGGCTTGTCCAGCCCTCTTTGGCAATTTCACCTATCGCTAACATCGGCGAACCGGGCTGACAGAAAAAGACGGGGTTTCTCCGAAGCAGAGCTCACTTGTGACGTCGGGTCTGTAGCTGCTGTATCCCGTGGGAATATTGAATGAACACAATCCGCGGTGGATTAGAAACTCGACACATAGCCTTCGCGCGGCGATGTGGACGGTTCACTCGAGCTTCTGTGTCTACGTGAGAAAGATCTGCCGGCCGCACACCTGCGATGAGCTGGTAGTGAGGGTCGAGTGTACCGAAGCCTCCATGTTCAAGTACTCCGTTAACACCAGCCGAGCGCGTGCCGTGCACGACACACTTACAAATTGGAGGCCGTGTGCCACAAGAAAGTCAGCCAGACACCGACTACGTGATGCGCATCAGGGCATATATCCACATGGGGAATTCAGCAACGAACAAGCCCAATTCGCCCCGTTTCTCCCAGTCACTGGCAGTCACTGGCATAGAGTACACTTTGTCAGGGTTCATTCGAACGATGGGGCACGGAAAGACCAGCTCGAGATATTCCCAGCCCGAGATATTCCACACCCGTTGGCCAGGAAGTTGCAACGGCAAATGGTGTGCGCGTGCGATGTCACGACAAGAACATTCATCCGCCATATGGCCGTGCTGGGGCAAGATTGGGTTTAAGTACCATGTCTTATTAGAGGATTCAAGAAGCCACTGTGCCAGCACTCGACGCATCGGCGCAGGATTCACTCAGATGGCCAGTAGAGTTCAAGTGGAAGTCTCCTATCATTTCACGTTGATACATGGATCACACGACTGTCCGATTCGAAGATCGGGCGCGGCTTCTGGAAATGGGCAATATCGTGCAGCTACGCCATCCGACGAAAGTTGAGCTTCGTTGGGGATTCGCTGCGGGATCTGCCGCGGGAGGCGGCAACAGGCTTACCAGCACTTCTACGGTAGCATGCTGTCATTGAATGCAGATCGTACAGTACAGTATACGATTGCGTTGATGATCAACGACAACACAACTTCGACGGGCTATACGGGAGAGACGCAAGGCATCGTCCTGGCCCTTGAGACCGCTTAGATAGAGGAACAGAGTGGGGGCTATGGGAGCAAAGCCTTCTTTCAACATGTGCCGCAAAACGACGCCGTCGACCGCGGGTAGCGATCATCGAAGTACTTTCCCGACGAGATAATAATAGACAACCCAGCCTGGCTGCCAAGCTAAAGAACAAGAAAGATACAGTACTGTAACACATGCTGCCTGCGCGCCAAATCCCAGAAGACGGGCCCGTCATGACTCGCAATACTGTAACCCCCAACACCATTCTGGCACGAGGGTTCATGTACGAGGCTTCGTGTACAAGGATTCGTGTCTGGACCCGCTACACACTCGCGGTGGCAAGCCAGAACCGACTGACGGAAGAGTGCCAATAAGGGAAATGTCTCTGGGCACCGAAGTTGACCAGCTGGTTAAGCCTGCGGCTCAGCCCAAATATGCTTTCTACTTAGAACTGCACGGAGCAACAAAAGCAGCCAACAGCCGCAACGGATTGCCACGCCGCTTGGCTCCAGTTTTGCATTTCTGGGCGCACCACCCAACCGTGCAATGCGAGCACGATATAGCTGCGACCAAAATCAGTTTCTAGCTCGCAACGTCTGGGTTTGCTTCACAGCTCTGTTAGGTCCACCCTCCAAGAATCACGCCCGCCCGACCTCAAGAGGCTCGTACCGACTGCCACATTTGCAATCCCTGACCGAACCATTTCTGCCGCTCAAAGACATTTCCAGAGGCATTTCAAAGCCACTTGTATGTCCGTCAAGCTACAAAACGTGGCGTAAACGGCCGGTTCCCACCAGCACCACGAGGGAAGAAGGGATGAACTGGCGTGCTGTGCTGTATGGCCTTTGGTAACATTGCATTACCCTCAGCCCCTTTCAACGCCCCGATGGCTAGCTGTGCCAATCTGGCTAGTGTCAGATACGTGGCAAATCTGGATTTTACTGTGACTGCGCGAGTGTCTCGATGCAAGCTTGATGCAACACTCACAAGCCACTATCTGACTGACGACACGCACCCTCAGTCGTCTACAGCAGAGGCTTCTTACTGTTATTGGCGCTATAGGGCTGCACATATGCGAGAGTAGCCTCAATGGGGCTTTTCACACATCACACGAGAATCTGTAGCAGTGGCCATCACGACGAGACGGTATCATTGTGGATGGAAACTGAACATGGGAGCTCCGAGGGCACAACCGTATATTGAAGACAGCGAACGTTGTCCTGTTTCTAATTACAAGAACGATCCACAAGCTGCCAGAGCCTGACTAATTAATTACCCAACAGCCAGCGGGTGACATCCGCCGTCCCAGGCACTCACGCGCTGTCACACGCTGTCATACGCTGTCACGTCTCTGCACTGGCTCTATCACTGAAAAGGATAGGTTCCCAGGCGGCACCACGAGGAGGTTGCAGAGTCCGAATTTCGCCGCCCACATCGCTCGAGGAAAAGCATCTCGGCGGCATCGTTGGAATGATCATCAACGGAAAACAAAGGAAATGCAGAAGCCGTTGCTCGGCCTCGTCGAGAATGTCCATTCGACGGAAAACAAGAAAATGCAGAAACCGTTGCTCGGCCTCGTCGAGAATGTTCATTCGACGGAAAACAAGGAAATGCAGAAGCCGTTGCCCGGCCTCGTTGGAAATTCATCAACGGCACCGCTATATGGCAGCGTCAACGCAGGGTCAACGGCATCTCAGCGATGGGGCGGGGCTGGAAGCCCAGCCCACCAAGAAAACTTCCGAATCCAAGTGAGAAAAGACCTCCCTACTTATACTTTCATCAACCTCCTTTCCTCTGCTCAGAGTCAGCAGCATCAGAAAAGTCAAGCCAGCTCGTTGTGCAATGACATCAGAGTCCCACTGTACGCCTTTGGAAAACAAACATTCTTGCATCTCGAACAATCGCTGGGTGAGCGTTGTGGCGGGGGTTTGAGGGCAAACATCAAACTTGCGGGTTCCAGATGAGCAAACGGCCGCGGTGGGCTTTTGGCAGGCGGGATCTAGACCAGGTCTGGATTGGACGACGAAACTGTGGAGCGACCGGGGTGCTGGATCTAGACTGTCAGATGGAGAGCAAAGGCAAGAAGTTGACGAAGAATGCAGGAGACAGAAGAGGCTCAGCAGGCGGGTCCCGGCCCGGGGTGTAGGGCGTGTGCGAGGGACCTGTGCTTTTCCTGGGTGCGGCCCGATCTGGCGCCAGTGTCTGGCGGGACCATCCGGCGGCGCATCTTTTGATGTGACGCCCCCTCCCCCCCCCCACCTTTCCAAGTGGATCCACCTTTATCTACGACCAGATGTGGCGCTGACATCTGGCGCTAGTACCCTGGAGCAGTAATGTTTCGTTCCCATCCACTTCTTTTTTGACGACCAACGCAACTATGATTGTACTGTAGCATTGAGAATTGTTACGCCGCTTTCTACCCTTTGAACAGGGGTTAACTCTGCACCGAGAAATGACGACCTTCCTAGTTACAGCCGAGGCCGACTCCCAAAGATTACGCTGTCTTTCTGACTCTCTGGCGCATCAAAATCTGACTGCTCGCGGTGACAAGGTATCGTAAGCAAAGAGCATACTTACGCCACGAGAGATAGCCACGACTGTTGCTTCTCGAGGGAATTGTCTTCCAGTTCATCATTCAACATGCTTGAGTGTATGGTTGTTTCGTTTTCTCCTTCGACGACAATATTGCAGGTCCCACACCTGTCGTAGTTGCAACGTCGATCGGGCGTTTTGATGGCAACCTTTCGTGTCAGGTGCATACTTTGGGCATCTACAGTTTGGCCTGTGGATGCTGAATGAGAAAAGCAGGACTGTTTAGTAATTATTGATCATATGTTGCTTCCTCGTGGCAACACACCTCATCTTTTAGGACTTGACCCACACAGGCTGGGCCAAAGTCGTTCTCACTGTGTACATGCGACCACGATTAGAAGTGCAAGAGTGACTGCTGTTAAAGCCGGTGATGGATACTTTGAAGTAGCTCTTGATTCCACACTGCCCCTCGCACTGTCGTACGCCATCCCGACCCCATATTTTGGGTTGCAAACCAACCGCTACAGCCGTACCAGAGGTTTGCGGAGGCCCATCACAGCAGCTTTCGGCTTCTCAAAGATTGAAAATGTTTGCGAGAGAGGAAGTGACTTATGATCAATACTGTACAGTACGTAGCCACAGCCAGTGGAATTTACAATAGAACAGTCAAACGCCAGTATGAGTCATGGATGGAGCGAAAGACCGTGGTAAAAATGGGTTTCTGCGTTCCGACTTGATCAAGTCGGCCAAGTCACACGATGCTGCTCCTGTTCCTAGGATTGGAAAGAGATAGGCCTGTGACACAAAAGCTCCGGCGCAGTATCCGAACCACTGACCAGCTTTATCATTCTGTGCATCTCCTGACTGTCTATACTCAAGTCCCAAGCTACATCCCCTAAAAGTCTACTCTCCGCCGCATTGATATCATAGTCTGTGAAATGAAATGAGCATGCTTCGGCCGCGAGGCCGGCCCAGAACGACGTTTTATATGTGACATCTTCTAAGTATTTCCGAGCAAGGATAATCGCCGCCAAGACGCGCGAATGCCGATGAGCCTCCGTCATGAGAGACTTTTCTGGTCGCCAAAGACCCCGCTCTAAGTAAATCAGACTGCCACAGAGTACTGCTCCACTGATATCAGCCCATAACAGCAGGTGGCGTAAGAAAACTGCCAAATCTGAGGGGAAATTCCATATGTCGCTGTTGATGGGTAGGACTCTCGTGAGCACATGCTCAATCAGCCCGGCAGCAAGTCGCGGGGAGGGAGGGCGAGTACAGAACAGTTTGAATCGGTCCGCGTCTAGTGTTATGTTGGCCCGTTGGTCGAAAATAGCTGGCTGGCTATGAGCGACGACGGTTTGAACAGGCGATGGTAGCCGGCGTTGAGAAGACTGACGCGAAGAGCGATGCATTTGCACTTTTAGCCAGCACAGCAACTGGCGGGTGTTCGCGAGTGAACCAAGCCCCTCGAGATCTACGAGTTTGGCGACTGACCCTACTTAATGCAGGCGGTCAAGGAGCTGAAAGTAGACGCCTTCGAGGTACTTAAACAGATCATGACCAGATCTGAAGGATGCTGCAGCCAAGATGGAACCTCGCCGCACATCAAGCGTATACTCCGACACCTTCGAGCTTGACGACCTGCTTTTAAGGCTTACAAAGCAGGCTGAAGAGCAGCAGGACATGGTCATCGACGTCTTGCGGCAGGAGGCTATGGCACTCTATCGCGAGCTCAGGGCGATGTGGCAGCTACGGGAAGTCATTGTCGGCTTCGTACGTGAGCTTGTGGATCTGATCGATCAGCTGGAAGAGCTGCTCAGAAAATCTCGGTCGTACATGGAGCAGAGAAGAGCGGACTACCTGGCCAATTGTACCTCATTCTAGGCTGCCAAGGCAAGGCGTTTAAACGTCTGATCTGTATCTACCCTGCCAGAATGCTTCAGCCAGTTTCGGATATGAGAATGCACAATTCTACCAGCCTCGAGAAGACCGAAGTAGCCGGTGACGAGAGAAGCCCTGGTGCAAGGGGCCAGAGCCTCTTCGAGGTCCTGGAATTCTTCGCTCACGTTTCTGAAGTACGTGAACTCCGGCGTGTTGTTTTTTGGGCTGCTTTCGGCTCCTGCTCAGGCCTTCTATCATTCGTCTGGACGGTGTTGTGGTTTGTTCCTTCATCCTCTCAGGTAATCGTACGTTGTAGTTGGTGACCATGAAGGACGGCGACTACTTCCCTGCCAAGCACGACAATAACGAGCAGTTCAAGAACTATGCCGTGTCTAGATATGATCAGATGGTGTTGGAGAACGACAAGGAGATAGACTGGTGGTGGTCTCTTCTGGCAAAGATCTTCTCGTGGCTCTTGCTGGCGGGCTACATCGTGTTCTCATCTACGTTCGCGTCACATTGGCCGCCTTTGGCTGGATTTTGCCAGTTCCTTCACTGACGAAGCGGCAGACCCACGCTGGCAGACTCGCTGATTGAATTTCTGTCCACCATTTTGAACCTTTACACGGTTCACGGAGGCCAATGGTCGGCAACGTCGATAGCTACAACATCAGTGACAGGCTGTGGCTTCTCGTCTCATGCGTTTTGTGCGGAGTGTACCAGTATTTGTTGGATGGCCTGCGCCATATGCCGGAGTGATCTGACGTCTTGTATCTCCCTCAGAACACACAGGAGATCCAGGGGCCCACCCGAAAAAGCAAAACATGCATTGGGTAGTTAAAGCTAGATACATAGTGTAGGCTAGCTAGCAGCTCAATTGAATTGTACACTATCTCACATGCGCACGGAATAGCTGAATGCTCATTACCCTTCATCGCGATGGATTTCTGCCCTGAACGTGGGTCGAACGGGAGCTTGCGCTGCAGCTGCCTCAACCAAGCAGGCATGCCCTGACGAATTTGCCGGTATACTAGCTGCATACGCAGAAGACTGCTTCGGCATGCTTGCTCAGGCGTAAATGCCGCCGAAGCAAAGCTGCCTGCGCAGGATTGCGCTCAAGCAGAGCCGCCCACGCATGAACACGCCCAAGCAGAGTCGCCCATGCAGGAACATGCTCAAGCAGAGCCGCTTGCGCAGAAATGCGCTCAAGCGCAGAAAGGCTGGCGCGGATTTCTGCGCAAGCAAAGACGCACACGCGGGAGTCTTCTTGAGCAGGTTCTACGAGTGACCTGTATGGAGAGACCCATGTCCGAATCGCTGCCGCCAGGGTTTGTCACCACTGCGTCTCGAAACAGCGTTCACTGTGCAGCGGCAGTTGTATTTCACATCCGCCCACTGTCCTCAATCAATGCAGCGGTCAGGAAATGGGCCCAGCGAGAGACACGCAATGTATTGCTTTCTGCTAGTTCTTTCCTGCCACCCGAGATATTCATAGTCTTGCCGAGTCCATGTCATAACCAGAGAAACCAATCCTTTCAACTTTTCTTTCCGCCACGAACGTAGGAAAGGATGCTAGATACACGTTAGCGACTGGCTTGGTGTGGCATCATGTTAGGCTAACCTCGCTCAATTCGGCCGCAGATGATGCGGTTGTTGTCGCTGAGAGGAAGCTTACAACTTCCGGGTCCCACTGCTCCGGGTCGTCTAGCCCCAGGTTGGCGCCCTCCTTCACATATCCTTGCATAGTTCCATCATCGTGTAGCCTAGGTCGACCAAGTCTTTCCTACGGCTGAGCGGTCGACAATCTTCCTGGCCGCCTAGATGCCCTGATTAGCGCCAGATTCGCCAACGGACTAGAGACTAGGCATTACTCAGCTTCACCCTTCCGCTAGGATGGAGTAAAACACACGAGCAGCTGAGACGGTCGTGCTGCAGTCCCATTTTCTCGAGGTGAACCAGCGCCTCGACTACCTGTCTACCTGTGAGAAAACGTGAATTGTCATGTTTTCATGGGAAGGATTGCACAACCTGCCCTATGATTGCTGCCAGACGTTGGCGATTGAGATACGGATTCCCAACGGCCTCTTGCAGCGACCGTGGCATATGTTCGTAGACGACGTGATGATTCGCCTTGTTGCTATAAATTTCATGGACCGTGACGATGTTCGGGTGCTGAATCGACTGGAGCATCTTCGTTTGCTGTGCAGATAACTCTGGAAAGTGGCGAATGTCTACGACGTCGCCAGATATCCCTCTCTTCTCGGCAACAAGAACAATGTCGTCGTCTCCGAGCAACTGTCGGTACATTTTCTCGTAGGCAGCCCACGGCGATGCCGCTTTGATCAGAATAGTGGCTGCCCCAGAGCTTCCATCTTGTCTGGCTTTGACGATCCTGAGAAGCTCCATTTGGCGAATAGTTTCGAGATTAACGTCGGGGGCTCTGTTGAAAAGAAGAGGAAAGGGGAAAACGGGAAACACATAGTTACGTGGGAAGAAAAGAGCAACAGAGACAAAAGAAGAAAAGTGACATCGGATTTGCACTAGAGTCGATGAGCGTCGTTTCCAGCTCCTTCAAGGGTAATCTGCCAGAAGCCGAGTTTGGAGTTCGCAACACGAATCAACTAACCACCTGAAGTGTGGGAGTCATCTCGCTCTACTCCCCATCGGTTTCCCGTAGATTCAACCACTTGGCTCCCGAACCCACTTCGTACGCACAGAGAGGCCGCAATGGTAGAAGGCAGTTTCACCCAAGTCAATCGGCGACTTGAAGACGAGCGTCGCGCCAAGTTCTGCGGTACTGCAGCATCAGTATATCGTCATTGAAGCCAACGCCGAGGACGGCGGACCGCGTTCGTCGGCCCGTTTCCGAACCGCTCAAGAGGTTATACCGAGAGGAGCATGGGTGCCGACAAGAAGATCATCGACACCATGCAAAGGCGACAATCAGTCAATTCGACCTGGAAGCCGCCCTGATGAACGCAGGGATCACGGCCTCTCGGCTCCAGAGCGATGCGTTGCCCTACCCAGTTCTCGGGCTACCGCCTGGTGTACAGCTCGAATGCCTCCAGGGGTCAGATCGTATCATGGCAGCCGACGACGTGTTCGACGGGGCGGACAAGCATTGGACAGTCGACCTGTATCTAGACGGTGCGTTCGCAAGGCAGACACCGCGGTGGAGCCCGCTGACGTTACAGAGATCTGAGCGACGATCTGCGGACGCTTTTTGTCGAAGAGTATGAGTACCAAAAGGAACCCGACGATGGCGAGTTCTACTGCAAGATTCGGGGATACCAGGGACATCACGGCGACGGAAACCCTTTCTTTGAGAGGATCTGGCTGGGACGGCTGGCCGCTCTCTCCAAGAACCGTCGACACCTTCTGGATCAACTGTTCCGCCACAAGAAATACACCGACGCCTTCGACGCACTCTTGGCTGTCCCCGCGCTCTTTTGCGGATTTCGACTCACCGTGGTACACCAGGTCATATGCATGAGGTGCGAAGAGGTACAACATCAACCCACATCGATGGCAATGCAACGTCTGACCAGCGGTAGCCTAACTTACATTACTTGCAACACATTCTCAAGGTCTGGAGCGAGATATGCGGCGGCGACTCCCGGGCTATGCGGCTCATCGATCGACCAACCATAGAGCGCTTACAGGGAAAAGCGCCCGGATCGTTCAGTGCGGACCACGACGAGCTCCTGAGCGACCTCAGCAGTGGGCGCATCTTTGGAAACTTCTCTGAGCAACAACGAGAAGAAATCAGAGCTCGGGTCTGTGACGTCTCACGACAACATTTGATACCGTCGCTCTTCACTTTCTTTGAGGACCGAAAGTTCCTTCGCGCTGCCGCCGACTGCGTGAGACGGCTGACAGGCGTCGA